GGGGGGGGGGGGGGGGGGGGGGGGGGGGGCAAAGAAGATGTATTATGGGAGATCTGAAATGGCGAATTGGCAATACATGTATAGGTGGTTTACGTTAGCCGAGAGTTCAAAGAGTCTTATACAGGGCCGGACAAAGCCTCCCTGCGCATTCCGAGGTTGTTTTAAAAGCTACCAATAAAGTGGTAGGTGTTGGCGGGATGTTCAGACCAAGAGACCCGTAATCTATTGTAATATTTTTGTTGGTGAATATGACCACGTTCTTGTTCGTTGGACCCGAAAAATATAATGTCTTGGTATTTGATGCATGGAATAAACAAACATGGCCACGTGAATTTTTTTAATAATCCTTAAGTGCGTGCGTCGATGATTAGACAAGCGTTAATCCATTTTGTAACCTTCTAGAACCCTGCATCCAATTTTAATTATGTTTTCCAACTCTCATATTGCGGTAGGGATTTGTTACATGAAACACGCGTCGATTTTGGAATTGCGAGGCTACGATTCCTTAAAAAAGGAATCTTCAGCCTTTTCTTTCCCTGAGCTAAATTAACAAACATTTCATTACAAACAATATTTAGTAAACACACATCGTACTACATGTGGAATTATTATATGGCTGATTCCGCGAGCGGACCAGATGTCACAAATCCCCTGTGTGTTCTAACTGGCTCCAGAGTAAGCGCGTTTTTCCCTTAAGAAAAATTTCTCGCAAATCCCCCCATTGCGGAAGCCCAAGCTTATCAGTGAAGACTGTGACCTCGTTCGTTTTTGCGTTTTTCAATCGGCCTCAACTTCGACCTCGACTACATGATTGAAGCGATTATAAACTATACGTGATTAGATAAGCTATTACAGCAGGATGTACGTGGTTTCCTTTCTAATTGTAAACAACCTAAACATAATGCATTGTTCCTGTGCGGCTAGGTCATCATACACAAAATCCTAACAGAGAAGGGGAGTAGTAGTTTATACTTTGAGGGCACGACCTAATTGTTGGCTTCACACTAGCGCTTAAAGTATAATCTAACTGTACTTGGAACCCACTTTTAGTGTGAAGGGGTAAAATTTACCTACTTCAACTTTACTTAGTGACCATGGAAACGTTTGTAGTTCAAAGAAGTCGAAGTTTGCCGCCAAGTATGGTCTACACCACACTTGACCAATAAGAAATGGAAGCCATGTGCACGTGGAGCGGTTCCAAGCTTCTACAATGAACGGTGTAGAGAGCTTTTACTTCAAGTAATATATATTTGCTTAGTTAACATCTCCTACCTCTTAAAATAATTTGATTGAAACTAGAAACTTGAGCCGAAAAAAACCGGATGCTCTCGCAGGCCACTATTTTCCTCAAAATCTTGAAAACTGTTTTATCGAAGTTCAACGATGCCTTCTTTGATACTGGTATAGTGCCAGATAGCTTTAAATCCGTCTATAAAAAAAGGATCTCCTTTTCAGTGTTTGTCTTGAAAATAGAACTGTAAACAGTTAAGTATAAGCCAAATAACACTAAACGGGAACAACTTTGTCACCTCAGATCTTACCTCGGTGTCATTCTTTTTACTCGAAGTAATACACTGAAAATGAAAACGCACTTTCGTCAATTGACCTTTCTGACTTCTTTGGTTATGAAAATGATATGATCCTCCACGAAGAGAAACAAAACAGCTGTGGACTTTGATAGAAACCGAATGTCTCGAAGGCCTGAAAACTATGGTGACCAGGGAAACACTAGGCTCGGATGGGTTACTAGCTGAATTCTATAAAGTTTTGTGGAATGATAAATGCAAAACGCTCTAAGGAGCGCTCAATTTCTGGTATGGTACCGGGCATTTTTCCATTACCCAGAGCAGAGGTATTAATAAAACTAATCCTCAAGGTAGAAAGACTCAGAACCCAACTACTTAAAGAACTGGAGACAGTTTAACCCTATAACTAAACTGTGACTATAAAATAGCTGCAGAGTCTATCGCAAATCGCCTAAAGATGTTCTTTCCAATATTATTAGTTATAATCAAACAGGGTTATTAAATGCAGATTTAAAGGTGGAAACCTTTAATACGGCGTCATCCAATTTACCAAGGGAAAAACATCCCAGGACTACTCGAATTTCTTGATTTTGAGCAGACCTTTGATACGATAGAATGGCTATTCATTTAAAAACAAAACAAAACAAAACAACGCTGGAATATTTTGCCTGTTAGATGGCGAGGACATTTTTTCGGTAGAAGTTCTTGCCAAGGCAATCAGGAGAAATAAAAAGAATCAGAGGAATACTTGTAAATCAAGAAGAAATAGAATTAAGCCAGTACGCCCGGATGACACGACTCAAATACCGGATGGCGCACGTGAGTCACTCTCGCTGCTCTTTGTGTACCTGATGACTACACGGTGAAGCATCTGGCCTCAATCTAAACAGCAGTAAAACTGAATCTCTATGGATTGCAATGCCGGATCCAGACCCCGAGCTAAAGGAAGTTGGGGGGGGGGGGGGTGGTTTTCCAAAACCCTTTTTGGGGGGTAAAAAAAGGGGGGGGAGGGGTTTCGGGCCCCCCCCCTGGGTCCCCCCACGGGATGGGGCAAACACCGCGCAAAACGGGCATTCTTCCCCGGAAAAAAAATTCCAAGGGCGGAAAGAAAAA